ATAAAACCAGCAGATAAAAGTTTAGGGGTAGTAATACTAAACTCAAGTGACTATGTACACCAGTGTTTGGAACACCTGGCTACTGACACATACGCAAGGGTTAATTCTTTCCCATCAGAAGACATTAAAAGAAAGGTCAAAAACATCATAATCAGTTTCAAGAAAGACCTGGAACCACATAAACGACTATACAATTATCTATTCCCAAACAGCAGTCACAGGACTCCCAGATTCTACGGACTACCGAAAGTTCACAAAAGCCTGAACGAAAGAGGAATACCACCAGTAAGACCGATAGTTAGCCATACAAACTCAATTCTTTCGAAGACAGCAGGCTTCATCGATCACATACTACAGCCTGTGGCACAATTCTTTCCAGACTACATCAAAAACTCAACTGAGTTAATTACAGAACTAGAAAATTTAACACTAAAACAAGATGTCATTCTAGTAACGATGGACGTTATAAATTTGTATCCATCTATCCCTCAGAAGGAATGCATAGAAATAGTGCATAATGAGATGGTCACTCACTCAGAGCTAGTCACAAGTAATCCAAACTTGATCACTCAGCTTTTACAACTGAATATGACTAACAACTTTTTTGAATTTGCAGACATAACCTTCTTACAAAGAAAGGGCACAGCTATGGGAGCAGCATTTTCTCCCACCGTCGCTAATATCTTTATGTCAACACTACTTAGAAAGTTCTTATCTTCTACCTCAGATAGACCTTTATTCATGCGAAGATACATAGATGACATATTTATGGTGTGGCCCAGGAACAAAGATCTAGATAAATTCCTGTCTGAGCTCAATAACTTCCACCCACAAATTAAATTTACAACAACACAATCAGACACAGCAGTAAATTTTCTTGACATTACGATTTACAAAAATTCAAACTTCACAGCAACAGGAAAGCTCAGTACCTCAACATACGAAAAAGAAAATAACCTATTTCAGTATCTGCATTTTGAATCTAACCACTCAATATCGATATATAAAGGCATAATTATTGGAGAAGCCATGAGGTATGTGCGTACAAACTCGACCGAAGAAAAGTATAAGGAACAACTTAGCAAATTCATACAACGACTAAAAGAACGTAAGTACCCAGAGAGTTTTATTTATAAAACATTAAGGAATGTCAGCTACAAAAGAAGAACTCTGTATTTACGTAAAGTTACAAAAGCAAAGCCACAAATAATGAATCGACCAAAGATGAAATGTATTCCTCCCCCACGTTATCTTCAGCTAAAGAAAATCATCATTAATGAATTTCACCGTTATAATTTATCCAGGTACTGTAATCAACCGTTATTCATTACTCTCAAGAACACCACATTAAAGGATCTACTAGTAAACAGCAAGCACAAGCCAACTGAGGAAGATGGGAGGACCATTGTGGCCAAAACAAAGGAGATAAAAAACCATCAATCTCACAACCTCAATGTCATTAGAAAAGCGGAAGTCAAGCAACCAAGCAAGTGTAACCACAATCGTTGTGCAACCTGTCAACACTTCAACCCAAACATCAACTTTAACAGCACGTCAACAAGACAAACATACAGAATACGCCACTCCTTCACATGTAGCTCAAGCAATATCATATACTTAATCACCTGTGAGAAATGTAGAAAACAGTACGTAGGACAGACAACTAAGACACTAAGGGAACGTATCTACCATCATAGATCAAGTATCAAAACAGGACAAAGGAGATACATAAGCAAACACTTCAATCTGGAAGGCCACAAAATACAACATCTCAAAGTACAGGTCATAGACACAAATGAAAATACAGAAACCCTAAACAAATTAGAAAGATATTGGATACAGAAGCTGGATACAATGCAACCAAGAGGTTTGAATGTCACTACAGACTAACATCACTCAATAAAATTATTAAAATATTCATTGATTCATAATCATCACAATTGTTTTTTTAATTACCTGTTGATTCATGCTAACAACATTTTTACCTAATTTAACGCAACCACAGAATCTTGGACAGACGGGGTCCCCATGGGGGTGGGGACTCCGTCCGTCCCTCCCCCCATGGGGTTTTTTTTTCTCTCTCTCTCTCTCTCTCTCTCTCTCTCTCTCTCTCTCTCTCTCTCTCTCTCTCTCTTTCATTGGATATGCATGACTGAGTTAATAATGCATCTGTATAAATAAAATAAATAGGTCTTAATTAACCCACCCAAACCCCCACCCCTAATGTATAAAATTAAAAGCACATGGTAGTTACTGGCAAGTGCAGTAAGCATGGAGAGCAATGGGTCACGTGTGGCATCAGATCTAGCCAGCATTGGTAAGCTCACTAACTGGCAAAACATTGCACATGCTACACACATACATCTGTGTCCACAATGTTACAGTACTATAGCACACACACACATGTTTAACACTAACCAAGTATATCCCAAGTCCCTGAAATCCCTACTCATGACCAGTCCCCAATGGTAACAGCATGCCTCAGGCAGGCAGAGTGGTGAGAGTTGGGCCCGTTAAAACGTTTGAAACCCCACCTCCGGTTCTCAAGGCCGGACTGCCTCGCCTGTTAGTTACCATGAACCCAAAAAAAGACGAAAGCATGTAGTGGATAGTCACGTGATTATGTTATAAAGTATACACTGTACACACACTCGTGGTACGCAAGGTGCTTCACAATGACATGGATTGACAAATGCTACACACACACGCAAAAGACATTGGTAGTGAGTTGGTCAGGCGGTTCAGGTAGGCCAGTGGGGAAATATTGAGCAAACATCAGTATGGGGCACAGGCAGGCTTTATAGCTGGGCCTTTCTCCAGTAATTTACTAATGAGAGGCATTAACCTCGACATAACAACAATCTCTCTTGCATTTGGAAGGGTTAGCTAGCGCTGGCCCGTTAGACCAATTAGAAAGTCTCAGTCCCTTTCTCCTATTGATTGAATCTGACTGTGGATAAAACCAGATATCACAGAGTCACACCAACTTTATCTATCTGGAAGTCCGTTGGTCGCTCAGTCCGGCTTGCTGGGCACTCCTGGCCACTCCTACCGTTCATGCCATCTAGCCATTAAACAAAAACACACTCACACACTCAACAACAACATCCTTCATTAGTGACACACAAGTAAATACATGTAAGACCCAAAAACAATAAGGTTAAGCCAACAAGTTAGGATACGCCAACCTATAATGTTGGACCACCTTTAGCATCAGGTTAAGTCAAATGTATTACAGGAACAACAACCTGGCACATTTGGACCACCTACATTTTTAATAGGCATAAACTGTATACATATAGTGTACTACATCCATGCATGCACAAGCATATATTTATTAATTGAAACAGCATAGGTACATGTATGTGTGTAAACATACTTAAAACAAAAAATGTAGCATACAGGCACACAAAAGCATCATAAAATGATCCATGGTTATATGTACATATAGATACTCTTGAAAAAGAAGTTACAGTGTTAGAAGCAACGATTAATCATCAACAGAAAATACTTCATTATAAAACCATCCCCATGAAATATAAACCAAGGAAGATGGTCGTTATCAGTCATCCCTCTCAAGACGAGTTAAATGAGGCCTTCATGCAAGACTTTAAAGATATCTTTCTAAAACACTTAGAAGCAGCTATCGACAGTAACAAGACAACACTAGAGATTAAAAAATCTAGGCTTCAGTCATTGTCCAACGAACAAGGGACAAATCATCATCAGCCCATACAACAAGATAGAGCAAATATATCAGTCTCGGAAGCAACAAGACCAAAGCCAAAGTCACGAGAGACAACCAGGGCACCTCAAAAAAGGCAACTCTCAAGCTCAAGTCAACAAGCATCAAAAAGACAGAAAACAATCAAAGATTTTTTAGTGACAGGCCCAAAGAAACCACCGGACAGTACATAGACAGTAACACCATCATGCATGCACAACACTCATCAATCCATAATTTTAGTAACTTTCATTTAACCACCAATCACATTAACATACTGAATAGAGGTCTTTCATTTTCTCCAACACAGTCATTTAATCCCCAAGACCATGTATCTTTTTTAACACAGTACGATCTGTTAAGTATATCACTCAGAAACAATGCACTCACCAGTAACAGTAACAATACGGTAACAATTAGTGACGTCGAAACAGAAGAAGAGTTCCTTTACAGACCCATGAAATTCATCAATAAGGAAAAAGAAACAGTTAAAATTCGAGAAAATCGTTTTATTACAGACATTCCAGATCTCGAAAGTTTCATTGAAGGTACAAAAATTCTGATAGACAAATTACTAAAGAGAGAATATCGCACAAGAAAGAAGAGCAATTTATCTAATAATGAAAGAAAAGCTCTAAAAAACCTCAAAACAACAGAGATAACAATAAAACCAGCAGATAAAAGTTTAGGGGTAGTAATACTAAACTCAAGTGACTATGTACACCAGTGTTTGGAACACCTGGCTACTGACACATACGCAAGGGTTAATTCTTTCCCATCAGAAGACATTAAAAGAAAGGTCAAAAACATCATAATCAGTTTCAAGAAAGACCTGGAACCACATAAACGACTATACAATTATCTATTCCCAAACAGCAGTCACAGGACTCCCAGATTCTACGGACTACCGAAAGTTCACAAAAGCCTGAACGAAAGAGGAATACCACCAGTAAGACCGATAGTTA